CTGGGAGATCATGACCTGAGCTGAAGCCAGATGTTCAACCAACTGAGCCACTCAGGTGCCCCCAAAATCATTTTTCTTATGAGACCTCCCTGGTTCCCAGTAGGCAAAGGTAAGTCTTTCCCCTGTTGCCCCTGGAAAATATCCTGTTGCAGCACTAAATAACATGCATTTTAGTTACTTATTTAATAATTTTAATAATTTCCCAGCTAATTTTAAGCACTTCTGGGGCTGAGCCTCTCTCTTTTTTCATCTTTGTGTCTCTAGCACCTACTAGAGACAAGTTGGTGTATCTGGGGCACTTGCTAAATGCTTGTTGAAATAACAAATACGTGACTGAACGAAACTTACCATGTTAAAATAAAAGTTCATACTGATTTAAAATTTTCAATTTAATCAGTAAACTGATTAATTTTCAAAATTAATCAGTAAATGTGGCTTATGTGATATATAAAGCACGGTGTTGCATTAGACACAAAAAGGAAGTATTGATTATGGCCTCTGCCCTAAGAAACTTGCAAACTAGCTGGAGGGCTAGATAGTATGTATAAAAATGTTAATTGAGAGAGAAATTATTTTAATGAACTGAGAAAAAGGAACTTCTGGAGGCAGTGAAGAACGAGTTACTAAATGAATGAGATGGAGACGGGTTACAGGATCTTGGAGTCTGGAAAGGTCACTGTGGCTTGGAGAAGGGGCTTTATAGAATATGACTTAATTAGTTAGAACTCCATGTTGCAAGTGGCAAAAAGAACTATCCCACAATGATTTAAATAACAAAGTGAAGCTATTGGACCAAAATTCCTAGGAAGGACTGGCTGCAGACAGGACACTATCTAGCATGCAAATAATATGACCCAATTTCTCTCTTTTCTTCCCTTTGAGATGCCAGGCTCTTTCCTTTTCATCCACATTTTGTCATGTTATCACCCCTCCTTTTCTTCCCACAGCAGCTCGATGTTCTCCCCTTGAAGGGTATCACTTCCAGACCTCACAGCCTCACCTTTTCTTTCTCACAAGGCTCTAGCAAATATGTTTTTATGTTTCACTATCTCTGATTCGTTACATACCTTCATTGAACTAATCACTGTGGCCACAAAAATGGGATATCCTGCTTGATTTCAGTCAATTAGTGCCCACCCCAAAAGTATGGAAAGGTCAATTGTACCTATCACATGGCTGATAATATAAAAGGGTGGTTGTCCATGAACATACAAGATACCCAGAGAGGCTAGCCTGTCCCCGGGGAGGGGGGTATATGTGGGGTTGCGGTGCAGGAAAGCAGTATGGCTTGGGGAGCATGGCTTAAGGCTACACTGAACAAGTTTGACTTGCTGCTCATTTGTTTCATCTAAGCCATGATGTTAAAAGAGATCTCAGCATGTGGCCTCTCCACACTATCCTTCCCTAAATGGCAGAAGAAAGAGCTTTCAGATTAGGGACCAAAAGCTCCTGACTTCTGGTTTTGGCTCCGCCAGGACACTGAACCTTTCTGATCCTCAGTTTTCTCAGCTATAAAATGCAGGTGGTAACACTTGTCCTCCCAAACTTGTTAAGAGGGTCAAATGGTCAGTATGGAAGCTCTTTCAAGTCTCAAGATATAACTAGAAACTACTATTTGTAATCTTATCCTCAGTGCTCGCTTCTAGATATTCCTCATCTTGAGAGATTAAAAACTTAAAGCAATGCACTCCCCCCATTTCCCTTTATTCACCCTACTCTAGAAAGTCCATCCATCTTCCACCGATATGCTTTCATTGATATACTCTATATCAATCATGATGTTTTCAGCTCAAGGAATGGAAAATCCCATCCCAGGAAACTTTATTATCTTATAATAAGGAGTCCACAGACAAGGTGGGCTCCATGTACAGAATGTCAGCCAGTGCCTCCACCTGTCTTGGCTCTGACTTCCCCTTAGGGGTGCTCTCATCCTCATCCCTGCTACAAAGTGGCTGCAGTAGTTCCAAGAATGACAGGCAGAGACTTCTTTCTTCATATGTGGGTGTTGGGTGTCTCTCCTTCTCTCTCTCTCTCTCTCGTTAGGCTAAAAAACCTTTCCAAGAAAAAACTGTCATGTGTTACTGATTAGAACTGGCCACCAGCCCACCCCTAAACCAATCTCTGGCAAAAGGGAACGAGATTCATATGATTGGCTGATAATACTCAGCATTCGCCCTTGAGCTAGGGATAGGGCTATTGTCCGCACAGCCACATGGTAGAAAATGATCAGGACCTGATGGCTTAAAGGGTGGAGTGATTGGCTTTTGGGTAGACAGCTGATATGATGCCCTGCTCATATACTCAGGCTCTATGACTTCAGTGCACACCATTGACTTCTGACCACCAGCACCTGCATTTCTTTGCTTGTAAGCTTCTTGGGATCTTTGGAACCTGTTTTGCTGCCTGTGAAATAAGCCAGAAATACTGGAGGATGGATGTTCCCACCCTGGACAAAGCCCTCAATAACTGATGAATATATATATATCCCCAAGAATATAAATGCCCCCGTTCCTCACCTATGGGGTGAGATAACTCAGTGGTATCTGTTCTACACTGGCTTCCAGAATTTCCCCAGCAGAATTAAGCTCTGGTTGGCCACAGTGGTGGATGGCTTGACAACACTATTACAGGCTGCCTTCCTTTTCCTGTCTCACTTTTTCACTCTGCTATGGCATCTCCTTCACCTCCTTTGACTTCGTATCTCAGAGTTAGCTTTGTGGGAAACCCAAATGAAGCTACTATGTACCATATGCCAAACTTCTTCCTGAATCCAGAGGCTTTGTATATAGTTTTCTCATCTGCTTGGAACATGTTTCCTCTTTCTTCTCACCTGATCCGCTTACTCTCCCTTTAAGTCTCGGTGTAAATGTCACTTCCCCTTGGAATCCTTCTTTGATCTCCTCTCCACCTGACACCATTCTCTCAGTTTTGCTCTCCTCTTATAATACTTCTCCTTAGCAATAATTATAATGGTTGTAACTTAATTCATTATTTGCATAATTTAATTAATTACTTGCTTCCCATCTTTATTCCCAGCTAGACTGTGAGCTGCTTGAATGTAGGGACAATGTTTTTAGCTCAACACTACACCGCTGACACAGAGTGGAGGGTCAAGGACTTACTGGCTGCTGGAAAGATGAGGGTTGTGAGAGACTAAAGATGTAAGTTTGAGGGTTATTCACACGGATAAAATGATTAAATCTTGGGATGAAAAAGATCTTTGATTCACATGACTCCTACATGGATCTACATTTGTTTCTTAAGGAAGAATCTAACTTTTATACATGAGGGGATGTCCATAATCTCAGAGAGAATCTTGGAGTGGCTCATTTATATCTATAAGATGTGCCATTTAAATCATTGTATTTTATTTATACATTACAGAATTCTACCTGAAATCATTCATTCATTCATTCATTCATTCATTCAATGCCTACTACTTATTAGGCATTGTACCTGGCAAGACTCTGGAACTATCTACCATCAATTCTTTTCAAAAGTCATGAGAGAGATTATATTTATGGAGAATACCCCAGAGTCCTTCTCTGCCTTCATCTACATTGGGCTTTTGGCTTTCATTAAAGGAACAAGGAACAATCTTATGAAAGTAATCACTATATTTGCTGAAAAAGGTATACGAGGACATTATTTATTTTGTCACTCAGTGCTCACAATGGAGAAATTAGTGATAAGTGGCATGAGGCATGGTAAAAACAAATAAACATGCAGGCTCGTCACCTCTTTGCCAGGCAGAATCTTCCTTACTAAACCGTAAACCACACCCTTGCCTCTGCATGGGATTGATGCAGGTTTTGTGAGGATTGAGGTTTATATAATTTGGAATCCTTTCAGAAAAAAGTACATGACTACAAATAAAAATGTCACACAGAGCCTTGGAAGCAGTTTACCCAAGTGAGGGGCTCTGAAGTTCAAGCTTCACTAGTTTTATAGTAAATCAGCATCTGACCTTGATTCAGTGAACCTGGGTCTCCTCTGCCCTTACCCCTGCCCTGGTTGTTCTGACCTCTAGGCCTTGTTTGTAGTGATTTCTTACTTGAAAGGCCTTCCTCCTCCTTCTTCCATCTATGGACTATATTTTTTCAATGTTTGAATCCACAATGTCTCTGTGATTCTAGCAGAGAGCTCTCCCTTCCTGAAGGCCTACAACCCTATGAATATAGCCCAGGATATTTTGTCTCATTATGGCTTAAGCTGCATCATGAATTACTTTTAGGTGTATGTAGTGTGCCTTTTCCAATTAGAATGTCCACTTCCTCGACACAAGGGCTATTTCTTCATTTAGACCTCCCCTCAGAACCTACTAAAATTCTGGGCATGGCAGTAGGGAAGGAAAAAGTAAAAGTGTCCTGATGTAAAGTTACGGAGTTTATGGTGAGACCAACCTGGTTGGAGTTTTAGTTCTGCCACTTATCAGTGTGAGGCTTTAGGCCTAACTTCTCTGAGTCTTAGTTTTCTCATTTATAAATGGATATAATAATGTTTATTTCACATAATTGTGAGGATTAAGTAAAAGCATTTATTCATGCACCAAAAGCTATTTATTCCCTTTCTTGGGATATTTTGGCACCAAAAGCTTGGAATACATGTACTTGAGCAGTACTCCCTGCATGGGGATTCTCATGGTTGAGTTGGGAGATGGAAATTTATAATGTAACAGCATAAGACTATATATAGCACACACAATCAGAGTGTAGAAAGTGCCAGTAAATAGTTGTGAAATAACTGACAGAATGAAGGAATTCAAAAGAGAAAACATTTAATTTTGCAAAATAAGTAAGTATTCACATATTTGCTGCATCATCCCTATGTAAATATAAAGTTAACTATAATGGGTATTGCAGTGAATGGGAACTCCTAAAATGCTACGTGTAAAAGGAAAATAAAATCAAAGGGAGAAATAAAGCAGAGGAGACAGGAAAAAGGGGAGGAAGAGAGGCCCCAAGGAGGCAAGGAGTGGGAAGGGCCCTCTGTGGACCCACCTGGCCAAGCGTGCACTCCATGCCACCCAGGAAGTCGGCCTCCTTCAGCCCGTTATGGTTGCTGCTGATGTCATGAACTTCAAACCGCAGGCGTTGCACCTCTTCAAAGTAAAAGTCCACAGTGAACAGTTTTGAATACACCGGGTTTATGCAGGTGCGAATCACCTCTGTTCTGTCAACCTGCAAGGAGAGAAGAGAAAAAACACCAGGGATTAGGGCTTTTTATTATTACCCTTTAGGTGAAATAATCTTATGGTGATTCTCCTTCTTCCAAAACATAAATGCCCTCCATCAAGTCACCAGAGTGAAGCAGTTTGAAAGCACACAAGGAAGCACCATCAAAGAATGAGCCATGTGTCAAGGAGGGAAATCTTATTAGCATAATCTGAAGCTTTGTATTTAAAGATTAGAGCATGCTATACTGTTGGGTGTAATAAGGCAACAAGATGGATCAATTATTGGTGGCTTCCTGGAGCCTTAGGATGAGAAAGAGTCTGAAGGCACATTTGGGCTCAGGAGGAAAGAAACCTATAAGAGATCAGTGAAGTCTGATGGGCACAATAATGGCAGATGACCATGCAGGTACCCCATTTTAACGAATCCTACCCTAACATTAGTTTTATAACTCCTGAGTCCTAGAATAATGAAGTGGGAAGGCCATGAGAATGGATATGAAGATGACTGCCTTTGGTCTCAAGTATACCTTTATTGGGTTTATAATGGTTACTCAGTCATTTTAATTCCCTGGGCCTTAGTTTCCTCATCAACAAAGTGAGGATTTGAAGATGAAAAGCCTCTTCTTGCTCTAACATTCCGTGGGTTATGATTCCCCTTGTCTTCTGTGATAATAACTCTTTATTTGCCCCTCTCTCCCAGATCTGTATTTGCCACTGTCCACCCTACTCTTGCCCCTGGACGTTGACCTCTATGGGTGGAATTGATTGGGCTCTATTACCCTGTAGGTTCTGCTTTGAGTCATCCAAAGGCAAGACTTGGCAGGAGATTAGAGGGTGGGAGGATAGAGAGGTGCTGGCAGCACACCATGCCTCTGCACACAGAGATTCTGCTAGTAGAAGGAGGGAGCTTTTGCTGGGTTCTGGTAACACAATCACCCCTCCCTGTCTTGACCCTTCAGACTAAGGGGTGCTAATGACTCTCTGCTGTTGCTATCCCCAGTGAGCTTCACCGTCCTTAGTTGGCTCCCTTATACTTGCCCATGTCCCTAGAAAGAGTCCCTCTAAAAAGAATTTAACACTTTAGATGAAACTCTCTGGGTATGCTGTTTTTGCTGGTACCCTTACCACTAAGGTTCTTTTCTTCTGTGCCCATCACATATAAAAATACCATTTACAATACTATTTATATCCTGGGAAGTCTTAAAGGACCAAATTACAGTTAACCCAAGATCTTACAGTATTTCTCAACTGGAAATATCCATTACTCATATTTTACAGATCAACGGGAGCCTACATGTACTTTCAGCTTTCAAATAGAAACATGGTCTATTGGATACTTCCCAAGTGTCATTCATTAGCACAAATTGGGGAAACGATTTCCTGCACTTTTATTACGGTACAGGGAAATAGTCTCTCAAAGAAAAAAAATGAAGGGAAGGTGGTGTTTGACTGTATCACACACATACATGTTATCAGGCAAAGAAAAAATTCAATACTTGCTGCAGCCTCCCTTGACATTCTTGCATTCAGTATTTTGACCCTGGCTCCAGCCCTCCCTCTGGGCCCTGTGTGTGAGAGAGTTGTCCTATAAGGAACATCACCTGCTCTTCTTTTTTTTTTTCTTTTTTAACATTTATTTATTTTTGAGACAGAGAGAGACAGAGCATGAACAGGGGAGGGGCAGAGAGAGAGGGAGACACAGAATCTGAAACACGCTCCAGGCTCTGAGCTGTCAGCACAGAGCCCGATGCGGGGCTCGAACTCACGGACCGTGAGATCATGACCTGAGCCGAAGTCGGCCGCTTAACCGACTGAGCCACCCAGGCGCCCCTCACCTGCTCTTCTTGATGGGATGGACAATCCAGGTTGTGAGAAGGAGAATGTGATTCTGGTCATGTCCCTGTCGAGCAGATAGGAAACCAAATCCCAACCTATTGTTGACTAGGCAGACCAATGGTTATTTGACTACTCTGTCTTCTGCTTAAAGCTCAGTTTCTATTTGAGCTGGATTTTAGATTTTTATATAATGTTCATTCTGCAGGACAGGACTGAATATATCATTGGCTGATTGTATAGGTACAAGGATTTACTGTACTGGCATATTTTTTTTCAGTTGTTAAGAAATCATTGTTTTGAATAATAGTGTAAGTCAGAGGTCAAAAACAAGCAGTCTGCAAGTTCAAGCTGACTTGGGAACTGTTTTATTAGTCCCATTTAAAATTACTTTTCCCTTGGGGTGCCTGGGTGGCTTAGTTGGTTAAGCATCTGACTTCAGCTCACATCATGATCTCACAGTTCGTGCGTTTGAGCCCTACATCAATCCCCACATCGAGCCCTGTGCTGACAGTGCAGAACCTGCTTGGGATTCTCTCTCCCTCTCTTTCTGCCCCTCTCCAACTCGCACTTCTTTCTCTCTCAAAATAAATAAATAAAAAGCTTTAAAAATATTTTTTATAAAAGTACTATTCCCTTAATTTGGCAACATAAAAGGCAATTACAGATAAAATAGAATAGTCCCGTAGAAGGGACTATTTTTCTTCTCCCCCCCCACCACCTTTGGAAAAAAATCAGAATGTCTGCCACCCTGGGGCCACATTTACATGGCAACAATTGGGGACTGCCTCATTCAGATGGGGCACTCACTCTCCAGTTTTCAAGCTATTCTCCCTAAGTGAGTTTCCTCGTCTGAGCCCTAGAGGTGTTTTTGCAATGTCTGGTCCAAATTCACAGAATAATGAGCCATATAAGAATTTTCATTACATTCCTGTGGTGCCTTTTGATAGAGAATTTTGAAATAATCCCCAAGAACTAGCTTATAGGTGGATTTGACATCCTCAAGACACAGAAAAGGAATCTTCTTTCCTTGTGGATGGAAGAATAGAGTCCTAGGCAGGTTGAGATGAGAAGAGATAGGAGACTGGAAATTCCACCCAGTTCTAATCTTTGTTCCTCTGCTTTAACCACCCCAGATGGCACAAAGGGCTAATGTGCACTGATCCTGCTGCTTTTCTTCTCACTTCTTGATCTTCATATGGTGATTCCACATAGATATAAAGTTCATGTTGGCATCAAGACACACACTTCAGACAGTCTATCCAAGGCAAGCTGCCAACATGCAACATGGAATGACTTGTTTTTTTGAGGGAAATGATTGGTTGGAAAGAAACTAAGAAATACACAATTGTATTACCAATACAGATAATTTCCAAAGACAATCTCAGAGCCAGTAAGAATCCTGAAAGAATAGAGGAGCTCAGGAAAAGAAGGAGGATGAGGTAGAGGAAGAGCTTGCAATGCTAAATGCATATTTAGAAGATGTTTCAAAACTTTCTCCATTCATAGTCATTAAGGGAGATACATTATCTTTTCTGGAGACTGAAGTGAGGCTTAATCTGATCAATAGAGCCTAGGATAGCTCATGTTCCTCATTGAAAGGCATCTAGATCAAGGTGACTGTTTTCCAAAAGACCATCCACTGATTGGTGCTACCAGCTGGGTTAGAATCAACCAGGCAGCCTTTTTTTTTTTTTTTTTTTTTTTTTTTTTTTTTTAAACTCTGGTTCCTATTCTCTACCATTGGTGATTTTGACTAAGCAAGTGTAGGGTGGAACCTAGAAATGTGCAGTTTTAAAAGTGTCACAGTCAATTCTGATGTGGTAATATCAGAGTAAGGAAATTACGGAGATGTATGGTCTATCCCTCGCTCTTCTGTGAGATTTTTTTTTGTCAAGGTTTATTTTAATCTTGCTGGTCCTGTTACCCAGTCTTCAAAAATTCTGCTTATCTCCTTTCCTCCCTAGTTATAACTACTGATATATTCATGTTGCTTTATAATTTGCAGAACATGCTTACATCCCGTTTTTTATTTGATTCTTATAGCAATCATGTGATGTAACTTTGTACTATCTCAAAAATGAGAAAAGTCAGGGACAAATATCCAGCACACGGTACTGGATGATAGAATGAGCACCTGAACTCATGCCTTTGGACCTCAAAGCCTGGACTGTTTTCCTTAATTCAAGTTTCCTCATGAGAATTCCTTGAAAGAAATGAAAAATGTGGCTAGGTTATGGTATGATGGCAATAGAATCAATGATCAAGTACTGCTTTTGCTGAGATGCTCTTTTAAAAATTTCATCTAGGGGTGCCTGGGTGGCTCAGTTGATTGAGTGTCCAACACTTGATCTTGGCTCAGGTCATGATCTCGCAGTTTGTGGGATCGAGCTTTGCATCAGGCTCTATGCTGAGCATGGAGCCTGCTTGGGGTTCTCTCTCTCCCTCTCTCTCTCTCTCTCTGCCTCTCTCTCTCTCTCTCTCACATGCACACACACACACAGAATACATAAACATTAAAAAAATTTTCATCTAAAACATTTTTCAGTATAACGAAGTGTATAATAGTTAATAGTTATAAAAGGCATGTTGTGTCAAGGTATCTACTTTTTAATTTTTTTTTTTAATTTTCTTTTATTTTTGAGAGATATAGAGCACAAACAGGGGAGGGGCAGAGAGAAAGGGGGACAGAGGATCTGAAGCAGGTTCTGCTGAGAGCAGAGAGCCTGATGTGGGGCTCGAACTCACAAACCATGAGACTGTGACTTGAGTGAAGTTGGACACTTAACTGACTAAGCCACCCAGGCACCCCGAAGGTACTTTAAAAATGCATTACTCAGGTTGACATATAATAAATCACATCTATTTAAATCGTGCAATTCAATAAGTTCTGATATATGTACATACTTGTGAAACCATGACCACAATCAAGATAGTGAACATAGCCATTACCCCTTCAAGTGTCCTCATGCCCCTCCATAACTCTTTCCTCCCATCTCTCCCCCTACTCATTCCCAAGAAACTACCCATCTGCTTTCTGTTATGATAGATCAGTTTGTATCCTCGATAAGCTTATATTATAGTATATAGTCTTTTTTGTCTTATTCTTTCATTCAGTATAATTATTCTGAGATTTATTCATTATTATGTACATCAATAGTTCATCTTTTT